TAAATTCCTCTAAGACGCATACTGTAGCCGAGGAATCACATACTTCAGACCCCAAGAGTTCGAAGGTATCAATAAATCCCTCTAAGGCATGTACTACATCCGAGGAACTCCATGCTTCGGACCCCAAGAGTCCGAACACAATAATAAACTAGGCCTAATCCTGGATGGGGGGCAAGTATTCTTTATAAATATCCTCCTTTCAAACCCATGAAGTTGGTCCAACATGGCTAGATCCATTAAATAAGTTGTCCCACATCGAAAAAATACAAAAGCAAGAAAGCACTGATATACCCATGTCATAAGCTAATACATAACAAGAGGGGTTCCCTTGATAGGAAAATCACCGAGTGATATAACAATCTCTGGTTAGTGACCTAGTTATTGATGAGCGCTGAATATTGCATATTCGAGCTCCTAAATATACGTATGTTAAGACCTAAAGTGATACTTCTATCCATTGGTAGACTGATTTATGTTTAATGTGTGTTTATAGGTACTTTCCCAGAGAAACAGTTAAAACCGGGACTTTATGATAAAAAGATTGATATCGAAGCTTACAGAGTCGTTGCCAGTCATTCAAAGAAAGCCGAGAGCTTAAATGGTGAAGTTTGGAAGAATTCAGGATCTAAAGCTCGAACCCAATTCTTGAGGCTCGATCCCTGCAAGAAAAAGAAGAAAAATTAACAAGGCATTGAAGCTCAAGCCTTGTACCTCCAGAGCTCGAGCCCTACTCAGTGGTGCTCAAGCCTAACCACAGGGTGCTCGAGCCTTGACCCTCAAGCTCAAGCACAAGGCGTCAAAATTTAAAGAGTTGATTTAATAGAAGAACCAAGCTCCCAAGGCCTCGTGCCAAACCTCAAGGATCGAGCACCATCACCCAAAGCTCGAGCCTTGAGTACCTAAAGCTCGAGCTCGTACCTAGAGCTCGAGCCCATGAAGCTTGGATTAGGCAATGTTAAAAGAGATGAATCCCAAAAATATTCTAAGTGTTGAAGGAAAAAATGCTTCGAAAAATAGTTGAAGAAATTTGGCTAAGTGTCAAAGTGAAGATCGAGCACCATTCCTTAAAGCTCGAGCAACAATTTAGTGAAGCTCGAGCCTTGTTCCCAAAGCTCGAGCCCGAACCTCAAAGCTTGAGCTCTACTTCCTAAGCTCGAGCCTTCCATGACAAATCAGATTTAAGTTACGGGATTATTCTCTTTACAAGTGGTATCTCATTCCAGATAGGTCAGAAGACCTAAAAGCCCACCAGACCTTTATTTTCTTTTATAAAAGAAGGCACAGGCCTTAATAAAAGAAGTCCTTAAAAAGTGAAGATCCTGAGAAGAGAAGTGATGTCCATGATGATGGAGACGACTACAACATAGATGATATTCAGCATCATCATGAGTAGCTAATTCCTCTCTTAGGGCACTGATGTAACCCAATCTAGTACTATGGTTTGATTGTTTTTAACTCTGGGATATTTTAATATATATTATGTTTTTAATTACATGACTATGAGCAATTGAGATAAATCAATTAGATTTAATGCTTTAAATATTTTTTAAATTGTTATTACCTTGTCTTAGATATAACAGTTTGTTTTCTATTCTCAACCTATTCTTATTGAATGGTATCTGGCGGATCCCTGCCAGACATGAGAATAGAGGTCATGTAATGGTGTTGCAATATTTTTTATAAAAGAATGTTTTCATAGTTTATGCTTAGGAAAGATGGATTGTTTACAAAGTAGTTAAAATAGTTAGAGTAGGTAAGTGGATAGTCCATGCTAACTGCAGATAGGTTATAGTTAACTGAATTTTATAAAACATCATTCTTTAAAGCCCGAATTAAATGAATGTTATTAAGTTCAATTCATTTAAAATATAATTTGTTAAATCCCCAGAGTTGAAACAGTTAACCATAGTATGAAGATTGCGGTGAAGTCAGAGCCCTAAGACCTTTCTCTCTCTAATCACTCTAGTTTAATTTCAGTTTATAATCGTGACAACCCATCAAACAATTCAACCAGTTACCTGTAAACCAATAGAGATTAATTAAATGCAGAACATAAATAGTCATCTCCCTGTGGGTTCGACACCCTCTCTATAGTGATATCCTACAAAGATTCGTACTATTGCAAATGGTATTTTATTATTGATGAGTCTTCACCATCTCAGAAAATAAAACCTCAGCTTCTTGGGCCTTCGGACCCTCAGCATAAGGAAAGGTCACCTTCATATCTCTGTTAAAAGCATCCGGGTCCTTTAACTTATCACCTGAACCTTGGGCAAAGCCGAACCAAAAAGCCTTTGCATTGGACAAGCGCACCAAGGAGGAATAACGCTCCTATATCTATTTCCTAGCAGTTGTACAGGTGTTATCTGCATCCCTTCAGCGAAGGTTCTCAGCCTCTAGTTCCTTCACCTTGGCTTCAGAAGATGCAAAGTGACCCTTGTATATATCCCTCACATCATAGGCCATTTTAACATCCATAAGCGCATTGGAGAGCTTCTTCTCAATAGCAACAAGGTTCTTCTCCAATTTTCCGATAGAAATTGACTGAGCTTCAGCAGTCGCACACAAGGCCATTGTGTGGTACAGATTCTAAATAATCAATAATGGTATAAGTAAAATGAAAAGGTAAGTAAGAGAATAATGAAGAAAAGAAAGAAGACAAACCTCCATGGTGCGAACAGGGGCAGAAGGAAGCAGCTACTCTAACCCCATGTTACCTATTATTTCATCATCTTTAGGTAACCATATCCCTCAGGCAATTGCTAGAGCAGCAGAAGGATCTGTGACTATCGAGTCTCCAGAATGAAGAACTGATTTATCAGCCCTAGAGAAAATGGGCCTCTAAGGTTCTCCTGTCTCTGCTAAGACAAAAGCCCTAACCTCCTCCTTAGGATTAACTTCGTCAGCTTTTTTCCCTTTATTCTTTGAGAGGTTAATGCCCTTGTTCTTGGTTGCTGAGGTTTAATTTTAAGTTTTTTCTTTAGAGGAAGTTCTTTAACTTCCCTTTCTTGCTCAGTAGAGTGTATAACTGTCAGGGGCTCGCCCTCTGCTGCTTTCTTCTTAAGAGCCTCAGCCCTCTTCTTTTCCTCATCAGTTAGAGGAAAACTGTTGAAAGAAGGGAGTGACCAATCCATGAGATCAGCTGCTGAAGAACTAAAAGCAAGCTCCTTAAGATTGGATGAGGAAAGAAAGTTCTCTATAGAAGGGGGTGGTTCCAAACTTGTTCCTTGAGGAAAACAAACCTTTCCCTAGCCATAGAAGATGGGACGTTGCTGAAAAAACACCAAGAAATTCGTAAATACGATGAAAAAGTAAAACCTGACATGGAAAGCAACCAGAGCATTCTAGATGACATGAAGATAAATCTTTTATACCTAATATCCCAAATTTACGAGGAATAGGAAGTTTGTTTGATTCAGACACAGACTAATTCCCCTGTATAATAATAATTCTCTCCTTCAATCTCTTTTCGGAAGAAGGAAGGTCTGTGAATATCCTCTGTTGAAGAGAAAAAGTGAAGTAATAATGTTCAAGTTCGGCCTGGAAATACTATAGGTAATCAACAAGTCAGCAAGATTCAGGTCAAGTCCCATTAACCTTCGACGCACAAGAAGAGCCGATACTATTATAAGAAAGTTATGGTTTATTTGAAGGGGGCAATTCCTAATTTGTTAAATACTAAATAGTAAAAAGGATGAAGGGGAAAACGAAGAGCATGAAGGTGCCCAATGAACAAAAGTAATTCATTATCTTTGACACCCTCACTGGAACTGAAATCAGCATTTTCTGGGTATTAAGCAATCTCCACCCCCTCGGGGATCTCAAATTTTTCCATTACAGAATCAATGGTAAACTTGATACACCGAAGGGACAAAATCATTTCTTTTTCCTTTTTTATAAAAATATTGTCTGATCCAGAAGTGGATACCTCTACTTGTGGCAAAGAATCATCCATTCGCACGACAGAGTCATTCGTGGGCTTGAGAGGGCTAGAAACCCTAGGAGGAGGAACTCTAAGAAGAACAGGAGATGACGAAGGTGTGGTTTCGGAATCCATAATCTCTATGTGGTCATGAATGGATGAAGTGCTCATGATACAAAATCAGAAAGATAGATGAAAAACTAACCTGATATCATGACGACGCAGTGAACGCAAGAGCAAGCTTTGAAGAAATCCTTTGGTCAGAATGTCAATGGTCACTTCTCGAACCGCCTCTTGCAAAAATTGGCAACCGTGTAAAATCAATTCCCTTCTAATTAGAAGCCGTAGTTCAATTTAGGAGGGAATTGGGGGCAAAGTGTGGAGGGAAAATTCCCCTTCCAATAAGAATCAGCCACGTCATTAAAATAAGGTATAATTCCAATTATTCTTTGAAAGCCCATCAAAGTCCAATCTTTATCAGGCCCAAATAAAGTTGCCATCGACCCAAGGTTATTAACGTTAACCTCTCGGCCTGCTAAAAATTCGTACGGCGCATTCACATCCTAATCCAAGTTCAGTTTAGATTAATCAAAGTCCTGTTTACTTAAGGATCCTTCATATAAGGAAGTTCAGCATAGGAAAAAGTCCTATATGGTAAAGAATCCTATATGGAAAGAAGCTCTGTATGGGAAAAGTTTACATAGAAAGAAATTGAATAAGGGAAGAAACTTGTATGTAAGGAATTGTACATAGAATGAATTTTTATAGAAATAACGTGAAGGACAAGTATAGCGAATCCTACCATAATTCCATCATCTTTTTGTATATAAATAGAGGTGTAGACCTCCAATAAAAATCATCGAGCATTGCAAGTTTTTTTTTGAATTATTCTTGTTAATTGTTCTTTTATTTTGAGTGAGTTGTATCTATTCTTTTAGCTTTTTAGTTAAGCGAATTTTTGCACCTACGGTGTCGCTCAAGCACTGAACTACCTTCATAGAGGTGTGGAGCAGAAGAAAATTATCCGTGGTGACGTGAATCCGCATAACATTCTCTTGGATCAAACTACGTTGCTAAGATGTCAAATTTTGATTATTCATTGTTGGTTCACAAGGACCAACAGTTCATCTACACAGTATTTGTGGGTACAAATGGCTATTTCGATCCAGAGTATTTTCATACTTCTCGGTTTACAGAAAAATCTGATGTTTACTCTTTGGGGGTGGTGTTGTTTAGAGTGTTGTGTGCGAGGAAAACTATCTCTGTGGAGGAAGACTACGGGGACGAGCGGAGACTTCTAAGCACGTGGGTTGTGGAGTGCATAGAAGCAGAGTCAGTTGAAGAGATCATTGATCCATTTCTAATGGGGAAGATTTCGCCACTTTGTTTGAAATGCGTCCTCAAGAGCGAAACTGAACGACCTCCAATGAGTGATGTTGTGCGAAACCTCGAGTTTGCTCTGTAACTGCAGGAAACGGCTGATGCTGCTGCATTGGAGAATGAGGTGATCAAAATGGTTGAGCCTCCCAATTTCAAGAAAAGAGGAAAAAGTTTTTTGAGGTTGGTAAGAGCTATACTCTCTTTCTTTATACTAGTATTTCGTATATGCAAAACTTGGATTATCGAAACTTGTTCATCATCCACTCCTTCCCAGTTCTGATTAGCACTTTCTAAATATTTGGTTTTTATTTGATTTGTCATCACACTAATAATAAAGTTTAAAGACTGTTAATTGTACCATATTGGTTTAAACCTTGTAATAAAAATGTTATAAATTTACTTTAAGCTAATACTCACAATTTCTGACTATTGGTATACACTCCAAAAGTTGACGTGAATTGCTAAATTTAACTTGTAAGAGCAAGTGGTGTGGTGATAAAAGGTTCTTTATTTTCTTTTTAAAAAGTAGAGTGCCACATAAGCTAAAAAGTGATAATGTAATACACTATTTTTTGTTATCTATGTATTTCATAGTGTGGAACCCAATTATCTCATTATCTATTTATTATTTTATTAATTTAATTGAAAAATTAAATAAAAAATTTGAATTATAATTGGATTGCTGTGGTAATTCGGAGTTATGAGATTGGTTGAGATGGGGGCGATAGAATGGAGGTTGAGGATCCATAAAGAGGAATGTTTAAAAAAATATTGAAAGAGAGAATTATTGAAGATGATAATTATTAAAGATGAAAATTAGTATTTATAGAGTAAATAATATAGCCATTAAAAATTGTCGTTGAAAGAGTGTTGTTGTATGTGTTTTACTTTGTATCAATTGATCCATTATACAACAGCCAATTAAACAAAGAAAAAAAAATTATAAAGTATTCTCCAAATGCCATTCCGTCTGTAGAGGACACAATAGATAGTGATTGCAGGGCCACAAAAAAAAAACACTCCATTTGTTTCTACATACCGCCCCTCTCTCTCTCTACACTGACACACTCTCTCTCTAAAACTACTTGCGCCCCGGATGCTCTAACCGAGGGAGATACATTCTTAAGAAAATGTAGGCCTGCTTGAAAATTATTTTTAGATGGTTAAAAAGACAACTCTTTAAAAACAGACTTTTTGTAACGGATTTTTAGAGAATAGTTTTCAAAAAATCGAACCAAACAAGAGTTTTATACAGTTTTTTATTTTCCGATAAACTATTTTCTGTGTGACAAATCAATAAAGTCCTTAAATTTTCTTTAATCTATTTATTAATTTTCACTCGTCTTCTGTGCAGGGACTAATAGAAGCAACCAATTATAGTTCACATGAGTTACTGTAATCGGAGTGACAATATCTGACTCCAACATTTATCATTCATCATCATCTTTGCAAGACATAGAGCTCTATGGTCCAGGTGAATAACTTATGTTCTTGTAAAACATGATATAGATTGCTCCTGTTCACTACTAGTGCATGAAGAACCTTGATGTTAGTTTCTTCCAGAGAAGCACATGTGCCTTTGTTCTGTCTCTTACCTGGAAATGATTTTACATGATGGTATATATTGTGATTTGATGGTAATCCTATATAAGTCATTTGCACGCTACAATGTTTCTGATTTTGAAGCATTGAAAATGTCGCTCACGTGAAAATCAACAATGCAGATGGGAAACGATTAGTAAAAAGTAAGACTTATTAAAATTCGAAACAAAATCACTACTGAAATAATGTAACAAAATTCTAATTCTTTGAAGCAATTCTTCCTATGAACTCAATTTCCTAAACACCTGCAAAAACTTGAAACTTCTGGTCAGTTACGCCCAATTCAAGGTTCAAAACATATTTTAATCATACTATTGGGCCAGGCCCATGAGAGTGGGGTTGCAATTAATGTATGTGGGATTACTTTTAATAATATAATATAGCATATATATATATATATATATATATATATATATATATGTTATATTATCTATACGATTATTTAATGTGCTAAAAGGTCTAGCCCAAATGCCGGTTCAACATTTGGAAGTGTTTAAGTGTTTCAGTATTTTTAGTATTTATTTATTAATATAAAAAAAAATTATTAATTGATACTCCGTCCCAATATAAGTGTCATTTATGGGGAGTAGTAATTTTTAAGGGGACATGTGTGACCATGTATTGTCTGCCTGAAAAATTACTATGTTGCCCGACATTTTTGGAATGATGTAAAATATATTGTTTGAAAAAGGAAAGTGGACACTTATTTTGGGATGGATAAAAAACAGTTATGATTATCTCCTTATCAGGAGAGGACACATGTCATTATCCTATTAATCCAAGAATCTTATACATAGAGGTATGGAGGAAGGAGGAAAGGTACAAAAATTAAGACAAGCACATCTAAAATCATGTCGTTCTTCCTCAAATTCAATTTCAACAAAAAAAACAATAAGCACATCAAAATTGTATATTCGATATTAAGATATTGATATTCAATAAGATGTTTCAAATAATTTATTGATAAAATAATTTACCAAATAATAAAATAAGTTACCAAATAAAATAAATCCTATATTTTACCAATTAAATCACTAAATAAATTATTGATTAAAATCAATTAAAATAAATCCTATTAGTTACCAATTAAAATAAAATAATATTTCTAAAACTCTACCAAAAAGTACCATTTCTTGTGAGTTTTTTAATAAAAGAAAATCTAATTAGACATGACATATTTAAAGAAAATAAAATAATTTCTATAAAAATATACCATAAATTATCTATTTTATTTTCAATAAAACTCTATCACATTAAACAATGATATATTTAAAGAGTTTCTATAAAACTCGAACACAAATTACCTATTTATCTATTTATTATGATTTTTTTAATATAAAAAATCTAATTAGACAAAAATTATTAATACAAAAATATTTATTAGTTGATATAGAAAATAAAATAATTTCTCTAAAACTCAACCACAAATTATCTTTTATTGTGAGTATTTTAATAAAAGGAAATTTAATTAGACAAGGATATATTTAAAGAAAATAAAATAATTTCTTTAAAACTCTTCCACAAATTACCCATTTTACTTTCAATAAAACTATATCATATTAGACAATGATATATTTAAAGAATTTTTATAAAACCCTAACACAAATTACTTATTTATCTATTTATAATTTTGAGTTTTTTAATAAAAGAAAATATAATTAGACAAGAATTATTAATATAAAAATATTTATTAATTGATATATAAAATAAAATAAAATAAAATATTTAAAATTGTACCACAAATTACCTTCTATTATGAGCTTTATAATAAAAGAAAATCTAATTAGATAAGGATATTTTAAGAAAAATATAACAATTTCTATAAAACTCTACCACAAATTACCTATTTTTTTCTTCAATAAAACACTATCACATTAGACAAATATATATTTAAAGAGTTTCTATAAACTCTAACACAAATTACCAATTTATCTATTTATTATGAGTTATTTTAATAAAAGGAAATTTAATTATACGAGTATTATTAATATAAAAAAAGTATTTATTAATTGATGTAAAAAGAGGTTTTAAAAGAGTTTTTATAAAACTCTAACACAATTTACCTATTTATGTATTTATTATGAGTTTTTTTAATAAAAAGGAAATCTAATTAGACAAGAATTATTAATATAAAAAATATTTATTAATTGAATTAAAAAGAGTTTCTGTATAAAACTTTAACACAAATTTCTTTTTTTTTTTTTATATTAATTATGAGTTTTTAATACAAGAAAATCGAATTAGACAAGAATTATTAATATAAAAATATTTATTAATTGATATAAAAAATAAAATAATTTTTCTAAAACTCTTCCACAAATTACCTTTTATTATGAGTTTTTTTTAATAAAAGGTAATCCAATTAGACAAGAATTATTAATATATAAAAATATCTTTTAATTGATATAAAAAGAGTTTTTAAAAGATTTTTTATAAAACTCTAACACATATTATATATTTATCTATTTATTATGAGTTTTTTTAATAAAAGAAAATATAATTAAAAAGAATATATTTAAAGAAAATAAATTGATTTCTATAAAATCTATCACAAATTAGCGGTTTTACTTTTTATAAAACTCTATCACATTATTTATTTATTATGGGTTTTTTAATAAAATAAAATTTAATTAGACGGGAATATATTTATAGAAAATAAAATAATTTTTATAAAACTCTACCACAAAAGCTATTTTATTTTCTATAAAATTCTATCACATATAACATGTATTTATCTATTTATTATGAATATATTTACATAAAAAGAAAAGAAAAAAATTTCTATAAAACTCTATCATAAATTATCTGTTTTATTTTCTTTAAAACTCTATCACATATAATATGTATTTATCTATTTATTATGAGTTTTTTAATAAAAGAAAGTCTAATTAGACAATGATATATTAAAAGAAAATAAAATAAAATTTTAAAAGAGTTTATATAAATTCTAACACAAATTACCGATTTATTTATTTATTGTGAGTTTTTTAATTAAAGAAAATCTAATTAGACAAGAATTATTAATATAAAAAATATTTATTAATTGATATAAAAAATACAATAATTTTTACTCTACCACAAATTACCTTTTATTATGAGTTTTTTAGTAAAAGAAAATCTAAATAAGACAAGAATATATATATATATATATATTTAAAGAAAATAAATAAATTCTATAAAATTCTACCACGAATTACTTATTTTAATTTCAATAAAACTCTATCCCATTATGCAATGATATATTAAAAGAGTTCCTATAAAATACTAACACAAATTATCTAGACTCTACCACAAATTAACTATTTTATTTTCTTTAAAACTCTATCACATATAACTTGTATTTATCTATTTATTATAATTTTTTTTTAATAAAAGGAAATCTAATTAGATAAGGATATATTTAAAGAAAATAAAACAATTTCTATAAAAGTCTACCACAAATTACCTAATTTATTTTTTATAAAACTCTATGACAAATTATTCTATAAAACTCTACCACAAATTACCTATTTTATTTTATACAAAACTCTATCACATTAGACAAGGATATATTTAAAGAAAATATATAATAATATAATAACACATATAAATAATATATAGAAGTGTAAAGAATTTCTGCATTTCAGTATTTATTTTTTAATATAAAAAATATTTATTAATTAATAATATAAAAAGAGAACTCTATCACACATAATCTTTGTATTTATCTATTTATTATGAGTTTTTTAATAAAAGAAATTCTAATTAGACAATGATATATCTAAATAAAATAAAAAAATTTCTATACAATAATTAAAAAATATATGAATTTTTTTTTTTCGATAAGTTACAAAACATTGATCATGTGCATCGCACGTATCTTTTCCTAGTATTATTAAAAGTACATAGAGTTTTCATTCAATTTTGATATAAAATAAATATGCTATATTATATTATTAAAAGTACATAGAGTTTTCATCAAAGTTTGAATTTCTATCAGATTTTGAGTTTGTATCAGTGTCTCTAAGAGTCTATTAAAATAATCACGTATGATGTGTAAATTTTTTTTATCTTCATTAGTATGTTAAAATACATTTTAGAACATCTAGGCAGATCTAGGAATTAGGGCCCATGCTCTTTAAGAGCGGAACAAACCCCATTGGATACAATTCGAAAAGCAATGGGACGTGAAAAAATAGCATAACATGAATCGAGTTTCTTTATTCTTGCCTCCATACGCATTTTAGAAAGAAGAATGTGTAAAATTGTTGTGTATTTTACACAACCTTGACACAACGTCCAAATGTATAAAATTGTTGTGTATTTTATACAACATTTTTATACAGTCATATCATTATATTTCCTTTCTCCTTTCTTCTTCTTCTTTCTCATTTCATTAAAGAATCAACTCTATATTAAATAGGTTTGTAAAAGTTATGTGGGGTTTGACATGACACTTGGTTTGTTGTTATGGGAGAATACATTTTTACATAAAAGCTATAAAACAAGAGGTAAAAATAAATAATTCAAATTTTTTGTATAAATTTATCATGAAACATTAGATTTATATATATATATATATATATATATATACACACACATACACACATGCACAGCCGTCGGAGATGCTCTAAGAGAGTATTTAGAAGATAGTTTCTATAAAACTCTCACATTTCTCCACCATTGCTTCAATAGCTAAACTATAAGCAACATCATTTAAGGGTGGCAATTCATGTTCGCGGATTGTAATCGTGTCGTATCGACCTAAAGATATTCTACTAAATAGTTCAACTCGAACACGACCGTTTAATAATCGTCTCATAAATTCTCAACACTAATCCGACCTGTTTATTAAACGGGTTACATGTGTAACCCGTTTAATGACTTATTTATAAAAACAAAACATTATGGCCTGTTTGGCTGAGCTCTCTAAAGGCTTTTAATGGGCTTCCAGGACCAAAAAGCCCATTTGTGAAAATTTTGAGTGTTTGGCAAAATATTTGAAACGGACTTCCAATGAAATCAGAAGTCATTAAAAGTCCGTTCCAGCGAAGCCTATAAAACTTGCTTTCTAAACTCACGTTTCAAAAAGCCAACACCTCATTTTAAGTAAATAATTGCATAGACGATTTTGCCCCCTTTTATTTCCTGAAACTAGTCAACGCTAGAAGGATAATGATACTACATAGGAAAGCGAAAGAGTTGTGAACCCCCTTCAGATTCCTATCTTGAAACAATTCTTATGAGTTTGGGAGTGCTGAGTGCTAAAGTTATGTAAAGTAAGGGTTTTGAAGATCGATCAAAATATTTTTGTGTGAAGTTGGGGGAGAAGCATACAAAGAATACACTCATGTGTTATCCTCCAATTCCATATATTAATATGGATTTTTAGTTTAAGAGAATGAAATTAAGTATTGCTACACTTCTATTCATGGTATCATTCTTAATATTCTTAATCTGATTCCAACGTTTGTCCTATTTGCCTCTACCATATAATTCAAGTCTGAATCAATGTTTCAGATATGTTGCTCCATCTCTCTAGATTTATGTGGGCCAATGAAGAAATTTGTAATGTACAAATTAACCAAAAGTTTAGCAATTACAAATTCAACAAAAGTCTCTAGCAATTACAAATTTAGAGGGACTCTATGTAATACCCCTAATTTTAAAATGATAATCTCGGCATTTTAATTATTGTTTTATTGCATTTTTGTTTGATTATTTGCTTATTTGCCTAATTGTTTTAATTGTTGTTATTTAATTGTATTATTTATTTTATTTAATTGAATTAATTGTTTAATGGTTTAATGGTATTATTTAGTTTATTTAAATGAATTAACTGGTTTAATTGATTAAATTAGTTTTATTAATTATTAAAATATAATTGAGGTTTTATATTCTATTTAGGTAATTAAATTTTTGGCCGACTAGTTTTATTTTTCTTTTAGTTTTCTGTCTCTTAATATGATTAGAATTAGGGTAAAATTATTGGCCTATATAGATACTTGTACAAGTCTGCCAAGGGTTTTAGAACCCTAATCACATAACAGTAGAGGCGACGAAATACAGAGAGGTCTGAGGGAAAATAAAGGAGGGAAACTTAAGGTTTGGCTAAGGCTAAGACTAAACTAAGGAGAGAACGAAGGAGTGTTGCTCGTGGGTTGAACCAAAGGGCAACAAAGGAGTTAGAGCAGTGAAGGATTGCTGGAACAGTTAGGAAGACGACGTCGGGATTTCAAAACTGAAATCAAAGGCAAGTTCTATTTCTTGCTCTTTTCTTTTGACCTGTGTTATGTGTATGCCTAGGTAGTCTCCAGAAACTAAACAGATATTAATATTCTTATTGTATTGCATGTTAATTCAGTCTTTAAACTTTATATGATGTGTTGATAAATTTAAATTTAATTGTTGAACAATTTTCAAAATCTGATTTAAATTTTGTAACGGTGCGTATTAAGATATATGATTTTTTCTGGATGATTTGGGACTTAGTCGGACCTCCAGGAACTTAAATTAAAGATTTTAGAGGGTTTTTAATGTCATCAGAGACGAAGACGATGACAGGAAGTGGGGATAGAGCCGGTTCCAAAGGGGAAAGAGCCGGTTTCTTTTTATTTTTCAGCCCACGACCTCTGTGAGAGAGAGAGCCAGCTCCATAGAATTAGGGAGCCAACTCCCTTGGTCACAGAGTCAGCTCCCAAGGTTAGGGAGCCGGCTCCCTTGTGTGGGAGCTTGCTCTCTCACTTTGAGAGCAAGCTCTTGTGCATAGTAACTTTCTGGAATATTTTCTTTAAAGCACAGGTTTATTTTTGGTAGATTTCTGGACTATTGTGGGTTGATATTAAGGGTTCTAAATATTGTTTCATGATATACTAAAACTCCGTGTTGCATAAATCTTATCTATATGGTAATGGATTTAACAGTAGGAAGGTTTAAACAATCTTGCATACTGTTAACGGATAAGGGATATAATTGCTTTAATTTTATTCTAGCAATTTAATGGACTGTTATATGATTTTTAAATCTTTATTAGATGCATAATAGGGTCATATACTTATTAGATTTTATTATGCTTATTCTGGACTTTAATTAATGAACCATTAAATACTGTTCTATCAATTAAATGGATATTATTCTGGACTTTAACTTTAATTGATGAACCATTAAATATTGTTCTATCAATTACAGGGATGTTATTCTGGATTTTGGTTGATGAACTATTAAATTCTGTTTCTATCAACTATATGGATTATGTGGATTTTATTTGATGTACTGTTTTAAGCGTTGCATCATTTATGGATCATATGCATTATATGCACTGGTATGGGACGATGGCATATTAGGGATGGATTAGATCAAAACGCTAATTCCTACCTATTCATACATACGGAATGGATTAACTAAAATAGTTAAATCCTACATGGATTCATGTCTTGTCAACTAAAACAGTTGAACGACATATTGGATGTTTGTTTTATATTATGTATTAGGAAGGTTTTATATATATATTTATGGTACCGCGATATGAGCTTAAGTCTCAGAGTCGATGGTTAGGGCGCGTATATGCAGTATGATGCGTAGCTGGCTATGATAGGTTGAGGTATACCCTGTTAGGTCTAGGTACATATGCCCACCTATGTTGCATGTTGGCTCTAGAATTGAGGGGTATCACAGTTGGTATTAGAGCACTCCAGGTTCAGTCTCTCTAGGGTATTTCGTATTAAGACTTCGACGTAGCATATTCTCTTGGTTAGAGCTTAAGTTTAGGATTCGCTGTATTCCTTTACGGTTCGGTTTAAATCGTTTTGATGTCTGTCTTTCTGTGTGAACAGATGGTTAACGCTAGAAGAGGACATAACATGCAAGGGAATAGACAGCAAAGGAGGGCGGCACGTAGGTAGCAAGAACGCCTACAGCATCTGCAAATGGAGGAAGAGCAGCAAATGCCAGGGTTTCAGGATGCTGATGGTTAGTTTCACAAAGAACATGAGGTAGTTCAGCAAGCTTAGGATCAGGTCAGGGATCCAGAGTATCCTCCTTATCTTAATGACCTCATTGCTCGGGCTATAGAAATAGGGGTAACAGCTGCACTTCAGAATCAACCTCAGATATAGCCGGTACCTGTACCAGCACCAGTGGTTCCGACTGATCCTTGGGAAAAGGATAGGAGTTCTTTCACAAAGGGGAGCCCACCTGAGCTTTCAGGCTCCATCGATGCGAAAGAAGCTCATCAGTGGAAGAAGAATATCGAGTGACATCAACGAATGATTCAGTGCACGGAGGTTCAGAGGCAGATACTTGCTACCTTCAAACTTGTCGGAGATACACTCCAGTGGTAGGAGTCAGTTACCACCGCAGAGGAGAGGAATTCATTGACCTATGATCAGTTCAGTACTCATTTCAATGAGAAGTACTTTCCATATGTAGTCAGGTTAGCTATGAAGACATAGTTCCTCAATCTAGATATGGGGAACATGATAGTAGCTGTAATACCCCTGATTTAACAAGGATAATTCTGGAATTTATTTAATTATTTAAATTGTGTTTTATGTGTTTAGTTGTGAATTTGTTGGTTTCATTGTTTCATAGGATTTAATTAATTATTTGAATTTTGTGACTTGTTTAAGTGTTGTAAATTATTTATTCTATTTAATTCTTTAATTGTTAATTTATTGGGTTTTAATTATTTGATGAAATTGTTTTCTTTAAATAGAATTAATTAATAAATGATTTAATTAAGTAAATGAGTTTTTACGTTAGTAGGATTAATTAGGGTTTTGTTTTAGCGTCATTGTTGTAGCCGACGTAGTATAGGATTGTTATATTGTCGGTTGTATAATTCTCTTTCAATTAGAATTAGGGTTTAAGTTTTTACTTAAGCTTATAAATATAGTATTAGACGACTACTTAGGGTTTAGAGATCAAAAACCCTAGTCCCAACATAAAGAAAATAGAGAGAAGTTTAGAGGAGTCTGGGAGAAATTTAGGAAGCAACAAAGGGAAGAAACAGAGAGTTGGCCGAAGTTTGTTGAACGACGTCGGTGTAAGGCAGTTCTTATACTAGCTCTATCTCTTTGGCCTATGTTCTTTGCATCTCTAACACAATCTCAGGATGGGTAAAAACTAAATTAAACTGCTTGGTTGCATGGAATTTGTTCAAAACAGGTTGTGTTTCCGATTAAGTATTTTGCATGTTTTATTCTGTTTTGTGTAACTCTTGTTCCAATTGAATTCAATTAATGAATGATGAATTTAAATTACTCTAGAATACCCTAGGACTTAGTTTTAAATCAACAAGAAACTTGGGTTGGAGGAACAAAGTTGCCGGAGTTGGAGAAGAAGTTGAACAACATGTTTTCTTTTAGGTGCATGTTAATCGTTTTTAAACTATTTAATTTAATTCTTGTTCCCACTAAATGTGATTATTAATCAAGGAAGTTAATTAACTTTTGAACACCTAAGGACTTAATTTTAATCAGCAAGAAATTTGGTTTGGAGGATCAACATAGCCGGACACCGCCGGAATTGGAAAAACGACGCACAGGGGAAGGAGCCTGCTCTATTTCAAGTAGAGCATGCTCAATTAAAAGATGGAGCAGGCTCTACATTGTAGTAGAGCTGGCTCTACTTGGTGATGGAGGCGGCTCCACTCTAGGTGGAGCCGGCTCCTTCGAGGGTTTTCATTTTTTTTTGGTTTTCTGCGAGACTGCTAGCTACTGTGCGTGGATTAATGGGTTTCCAGGGGCAATTGAGAGTTTAATTAGAGGTTCTCAGTGATGTTTAAATTCCACTAAACTTCAGAAGGCATGATAATACATATTATACCATAGAAGGTTAGTAGAAGGGACATTATGAAACTTTTAAGAAAGTTTACATGGTTGCTTGGTGCGGAGATTCAAGTTATTTAATTTTAATTTAGCAATTGAATTAGGCGTTTGATATGTAAATCATATAACAGGGGTATGGGATTAAGCCTATTAACTAATATAAATTCAGTTAATACTTAATAAGGAACTAATTGATGATTACAAAAAAAATTGTTTATGTCAACTTGTGGGATGTTGTGGAGTAATTACAAGTAAGCATGTAAAGTCTGTTAATGTTATTATTATGCTTATTGTGAGTTACAGGATGGTTATATTTATCCTCTGCATTTAAAATTTGTTGGAGAATTAGGTACTAGATGTGTTGAACAAGCCTGCTAGTTAAACATTCTTGTTATGCTTATGATTGGATATGTTGATATTGATATGTTATGCTGTCATATATATATTATCAATTCTGGATGGATGTTTGGTATGCACCGGTATGGGACGGTGACATACTAGGGGGATTAGCTTAAAAATGCTAAGTCCTACCTACTCTGGATTAAGGGATGGATTAACTACAAAAGTTAAGTCCTACCTGTATTTTGTGTCAGATCACTAAATAGTTGAGTGACATTTTTAGTTTGGAACGAACTTTAAATATATTTTTATGGTGCCACGATACGAGCCTGAGTTTCAGAGTCGTTGGCTAAGGAGCATATATGCATTGGGATGCATAGCTGGCTATGATGGTTGGATGTGTACCCTGCTAGGACTAGGTAGTCATGCCCACCTTTGGGTGCGTTTTCGCATGGTGCCTACTAGTCAGGTTGAGACGGGCCTGTAGTCCAGTGAGAGTCCTGTAGTGTGATTATATATATATATTTATCTACGGACTATTAGCTATTGTTGGATTGGTTAGGATGTACATGCGTATCGGGTCTCTGCTTGGGTAGTAGTAGTATAGAACTTGCATGTGGGCCTGACCCATTCATCATTTTTCAAGTATTGGACATTTCTAGTCTAGAGCTTGTTCGTGCTGAGCAGAGACGATCTTCCATTCTACCAACGACGTAGGACTTCTTTCCAAATATTAGATTTGGATTTTATCTTCAGTTTTATTTTTTCAGTTTGGGGTTTTTTATTAGGGGTCCACTAGAGATGGATTCCCGAGTTGTAAACTTATGAAGTTTGGATTGTCAGAGTTTAAATATTTATATTTGAGGATTTTTAATTTAGTATTCCTTCAGCTTATTATTATTTCTTAAAATTCATTTTGTATTCTGTGTTCGATTAAATATTAATTGTTTGATATCCTTCGGATCTGTGCTCGGACTTGATCACCCGTGGCTCTAGAATCGAGGGATATCACAGTTGGTATTAGAGCACTCCAGGTTCAAGTGTCTCTGGGATTCTGTTGAATAAGTCTTCCGCGTAGCGTTCTCTCTTGTTTAGAGCTTTAAGATTAGGATTCGTTGAATTCCTTTACGGTCCGTTTACAATCGTATTGATGTTTGTCTTTCTATGTTAACAGTATGGTTAACGCTAGAAGAGGACAGAACATGAACAGTCGACAGAGGAGACTGGCACGTAGGCAGCAAGAACGCTTGCGACGTCGGCAAATAGGGGAAGAGCAGCAAATGCCTAGGTTTCAGGAGGAAGACGGTCAGTTGCAGATAGAGCATGAGGAAATTCAGCATACTCAGGAGTCTCAGCAACAGGCCTACAATCCGGGCAGGGATCCAGAGGATTCTCCTCAATTAGTTTACATCATTGCTCAGGCTGTAGCTGCAGGCGTAGTAGTGGCACTTCAAAGTCAGCTACATGTGCAATAAACACTTGAAGCAGTACCAGTGGTGCAGAATGTGGTTAAAGTTCATTGTTTTGGCTGCGGAGAAGATGGGCATACATCCAACCAATGTCCTGAGTTAGCCCCGAGACAGCAGAATGGGGTAGAATGGGATCAACTACGGTCTAACCAACAGAGGAGGCCGTTTGGTACTTTTAGGGGTACTTGCTATACTTGTGGAGAGTACGGTCACACTGCTAGGCAGTGTCCTAGACGAGGAGGTATCGGGCCATCCCAGCAGGAAGGTACTAAACCACAAGGAGGATGGCTCTTTTAAGAGTGATTTTTGGTTTTTGATAGTGGAAGAGATTTCAATAAAAGTGTGGTATGGATTTAAACACATACACTAGTTGTATGTTAAAGATTATTTACAATTATTCGTTTGACAGTTTATGATTTGGAAAAGTTCTTAATAAAGTAAACTAGCGGTTTTAGCTATTTTTGAATTGTGTTGTGTGATAGTATGTTTTGTGGTATATATGGTTTTTATTAAACTATAGTGGGATGATTATGTTGTATTAATAGATGATTATCCCAGTGGAGTGATTGGGGTTTGTAGAACAGGCAAGCAAATAGTTGCTTGTAAATACATGGTGTGGAGACAGGTTGATTACCAAGAAGTTTATAAGAGAACTTGTGTAAATCAATATGGTAGGTTTGGTTTAGAAAGAGGAATTCCCAGGATAGAATAATAATCTAAATTGGGATGATTATGGAGCATTTCGTTTTACCTTATTTGTTTTGCTCTATGAAATATTTAGAAACATGGGATTTTCATGGATTGGTTGGTGACATGCGTATGTAGTAGACCTCAGGATATTTCTATATGGTTGGGCAATACTGCCATTTTTCATGAGAGTGATGTGCCTGTGACACTAGATATTGGTAGACTCGGATTTCTAGCCAATCTTTTATCCTAGACATGTACACTTAGGATGGGATACTTATGATGGAGTGGTTACCACTGCCATGCTCATGTTCTTTATTTTGGATGGGTCTATTATGGTTACCAAACCTAGTCAGGATGTTTACGTCGTTGTTAGGCCACATTTAAACGGGGACACTAGCACTTGTTCTAAATAAAGTAAGAAATGGAAGAAGGGATTACTGTATCATTGGCTAGCATACCGATTGTACAGGATTTCCCAGATGTATTTTAGGAGATTCCAGGGTTGCCGCCTAGCCGCGAAATAGACTTTGTGATAGACTTAGCTCCAGGCATTACACCACTTGTGAGGGCACCATACAGGATGGCCCCAGTGGAGATGAAAGAGCTAAGGGATCCCATTCAGCAATTACTCAGCCAGGGTTTCATTCGTAGGAGTACTTCACTCCGGGAAGCACCGGTTTTATTTATGAAGAAGAATGATGGTTCGCTCCGCCTGTGTATAGACTACAGGGAGTTGAACAAGGTTACAATTCGTAACAAGTATCCTTTACCTAGGATTGATGATTTTTTTTTTTGATCAGTTAAGGGGAGCCACGTATTTCTACAAGATTGATCTGCGTTCTGGTTATCATCCGCTGCGAGTTAGGGAGCAGGATGTCCCTAAGACCGCGATTCTCATGAGATATGGTTATTATGAGCTCCGTGTCATACCATGTGGGACGATTAACGCACCCACAGTGTTCATGGACTTAATGAATAGAGTCTTCCAGGTTTATTTGGATCAGTTTGTTATTATCTTTATTGATGATATCTTGATCTATTCTCGGTCAGAGGACGATCATGTTAGGCATCTACAGTTAGTGTTGTAGACACTTCGTGAGCACCAACTGTATGCCAAATTCGAGAAGTGTGAATTTTAGCAGCGGGAATTGAAGTTTCTTGGTTACGTGGTGTCAGAAAAGGGGATAACAGTAGATCCAGCCAAGGTTTCGGCCGTGGTTGAGTGAGGACAGCCTATTTCACCTACCGAGATTCGGAGTTTCCTCGGTTTGGTGGGATATTATCGAAGGTTCATCCAGGGGTTTCTCAAAAATAGTCGGACCACTCACTCATTTGACTAAAAAGGATGTGCAGTTTGTGTGGAATGAACACGCTCAGCGAGCTTTTGATGAGCTCAAAAGGAAATTGACTTCTGCACCGATTCTGTCTACACCATAGTGCGGGATAGAGTATCTTGGTTGCACGGATGCTTTGTTGCAGGGTCTTGGATGCATTTTGATGAAGGAGGAGCGACTAATCTCTTATGAATCTCAGAAGCTTAAGCCTCACGAGCTTAATTATCCAACGCATGATTTGGAGTTGGCAACTGTGGTCTTTGCATTATGTATTTGGAGGCATTATCTGTTGGGTGATTCGATCAGATTATTTAGTGACCACAAGAGTCTGTAGTATTTGTTCACTCAGCGGGAGCTGAATATGAGATAGCGCAGGTGGTTGGAGTTTGTGAAAGACTATCACTTCTCTATCCAGTATCATTAAGGGCAAGCGAATGGGGGTGGCAGAGGCACTCAGTCACTGACCTGTGGGTAGTTTTTCTGCTTTATTCACCACTGAGTGGAATACTTTGAAGAATGTGGATAAGTTGTTAGATGCTTTCATGGCCTGTATGGTAGTTACACCTTCTATCATTTATAAGGTTTTAATTGCACAACTTACGAATCAGTAGTGCATTGACAAAGTTACATAGATAACTTCTGGTGGGGTCCCATTTTACTATGTTGGGGCTGATAGAGGTTTGAGGTACAAGGGATGGTTGGCAGTACCTTCGGCAGATGGGTTAAGGAATGATGTGATGACTGAGACTCACCACTCGGAGTTTTCTGTACATCCGGGAGATGACAAGATGTATCAAGATATGAAGCGACAGTTTTGGTGGGCAGGTATGAAGAGAGAGACATTGCTCTTTTTGTTTCTTAATGTAGTATTTGTCAGATGATTAAGATTGATCATCAGAGGCCACCGGGAGCTCTACAGCCATTACCAACATCGAAGTGGAAATGGGAGAGCATTTCTATGGATTTCATGGAGGGATTACCAAATTCCTTCAAGGATCACAATTTCATCTGGGTCATTATTGACAGATTGACCAAGTCAGCTCACTTCTTACCTATTTGCACTGATTTCACCTCGGAGCAGTTGGCGAGATTTTACACTACTGAGATTGTGAAGTTGCATGGCATTCCATTGTCTATTATATCAGACAGGGAATCGAGCTTTGTGTCGTGATTCTGGAAGAGTTTTCAGCAGGCTTTGGGTATAGAGTTGCATCTTAGTACTACTTATCATCCTCAGACTGACGGACAGACTGAGAGGGTAAATCAGGTTATGGAGGATATGCTTCGATCGTGTGTTCTTGATTTCAAGGGACACTGGGAAGATTATTTGCCACTTGTGGAGTTTGCTTATAACAATAGTTTCCAGAAGACTATTGGGATGGCACCAATTGAGGCGTTATACAACCGACCGTGTTGATCACATGTTTGTTGGATGGAGGTTGGTGAGAGCAGATTCTTGGGTCCTGAGTTCATCAAGGATACTTCTGAGAAGATAGCTCTTATTCGAGATTGCATGCGTACTGCCGAAAATAGGCAGAAGAGCTAT